CGTTTCCTAACTTCCTTGTATTAGCATCCATCTGTATTATCGTAAATTCGCCTCTGGTATGTCTAAAATAGGTAGGTACATTTTCCTTGAAATTTTATTTGCGAACGGGATACACTGCGTGAGAGGAAGTCATAAACTAACAGTTAGAGCAACAATGTCACGCAACGACGTCTCGAGCAGCTCTGCCTTCTTTCACTGATTTGTTTCTCCTTATGAAATTTTATGACCCAAAACAAGTTCCAACCGACACCGCCGAAGAACTGGAAAAGGAGAATGCAGTCGAACCTCCCGAAAGCGACCACCCAAAATGCGCAGACTTAGTGGTTGCTAACAGGAGGTGGTCTCTTACGAGAATCGAACCACAGGAGGTTTCTTTGAGAAGAAAACTGGACACATCTACTTTACGGAAGATAATTTATTGCGTGCAATTTCCAAGTTACGATATGTGCAGTTCCATGTTGTTGTTTTTCCTACCACAAGAGATCAGAAACTCGTCAGGTGGTCGCTTACAAGAGGTTAAAAACAGCCCCAATTACTTGTCGCGGGCGCTTACAGGAGGTGGTTCAACTGTACTCCCACAGATCGAGAGTAAATCACCTTTCACGACGATGCGACTAGGATTTGTCCATGGAAGATAAGACTCCTTGTTCACCACTTTTGAGCTACTCTAGCCAATTCCCACCCATGTCGAGTGTTTGCAAAACGTAGCATCATCGTGAAAAGAGAAGTATCAGAAATGTCATCAGAAAGGTCATCCTTGACGCCGCTGGCCTATCGCAGTATGCGGCAGCGAACTTATGTCGACGTAAGTACCACTTACTAACCGGGCAGTGAGGCGACGCAGAGTAAAAGCGTAACTTGACTACGTTTTTCAGTTTGCAGCAGACCCGAGTTTTGTTCAAAGAAATACCTGCCTTTTGCTCAGGAGTATTAACGTCGGTACCCGCAATGTCCCAGCTCGAGCCTTCACACTGGAACGTTCGATCGACTCACTGTTCAGTTAATAGTTACCCTTCTCTTCCTCTTTCCGACTTATCTAGGAAGATCGAAGGGCCTCTGATCGCAGAGTAGTTGATAGCGACCAAGGAGCTAAATAACATAGCGAGGTAAGTAAGTGGTATCGGCGGTTTTATTTATGCCTAACCCTTTCCCAAAGTAAAGAAAGGAACGAACTTCAGACAAAGGGAAAGAAGAGTTATGCGATAAAACTGCTCTTAAATTGATGTTTAGCTATGGCATATGCGAGGGGGTGGGGGCTATTTAATTGCTCAATAACATGTGCCGTTACCAAAAAAATTACGGAAAAACATTTTTTCCCTGGTTTGGAATTTTGACCATGAAAATTTTAGATCTAGCCATTTGTGATACCAGGCCAAAAAAAATCCAATATTTAAATATTTCCCTCTTAGCAGCACGCCCTCTAATTACAGTGTCCTTAAGTTTGGACGGTATCTAATATTATATATCCGCAGGAACGAAACATGACAACAGCTGGTTACAGATTGTCAATGTGTGAAGCGGGGGATCTGGGCTCCCTGTGTCAGTTCTTGTCAAAAAGACCCCAAATCAGTATATTTGCTGTTTAGGTTAATGCTGTACTAAAGTCATTACTTACTGCCCTTACCCAGTCAAAAAATGTTCAGTGAAGACTTATAAGTATCATTTTATCAGGGAGCACTAGCCAAAAATATCTTTTTGGGTGATGCATTTAAACTTGAAAAAAATGGCCCAATTTTTCCAATTTTCAGTTCATGTCCATCCTGGCCATCAGTAACAGAACGCGACAGGAAACAGTTTCAGTGCCTAAATATAGTATTGCATAACAAAACTGGACCATAATTTTTGGAACTAAATTGATGCGAAATGAAGACCATATTAGCTTTTTAAAATGAACTAGCAATTAGCTTGGCATGGCCGCTTTAACTCTTTTTTCACGGCCAATTTTAGTAGAAGAAAACCCTGCCTTTTGTAGCCTGCGAAAACATCCGTTTCTCCTCGCTCTTCGTCGCTGGGGACGTTTCGCGCGGAACGTCCCCGGCGACGAAGAGCGAGGAGAAACGGATGTTTTCGCAGGCTATGCCTTTTGACCAAATCCTCCCTTTTGGGCCGCCTTTCAACCAGTTAGTAGCCTGCATAACAGGCGTTATTTTTTTCGCGTTTTTGCAGGAGAGCGAAGGCAATCACGAAGTGAGTGAGAAGCGCCAGACAAGCGTCACGGGGAAGACGCAGAAAAAACAACGGCCTGTCCACAAGCCATTGCTTTTTGGCATCCCGCCCCAGACATACCCCTTAATGGCTCTCCTCACTCGCTTCGCGCTTGCATTCGCTCCGGCTTCGGGCTTAATTAATTGCCTTCGCTCGCCTGAAAAACGCACACCTGTTATGCAGGCCTGCCAGTTAGCTTGATATGCGAATGGCTGAAAAAGATTTGCAACACAAGACTGCTCAATTGGACGTACACTAATTTAGAAGCTTTTTTGGCGCATTCACAGAAGCCAAAATTTGGACATCTCTTACGAACCTATATCGATCTTTCTCTGCCGCTCTCTCTTTGCCCTTTGCCTCTCTTCTTCTGTTGCTCCGGCACTTGATCGTCTTCTGACTGTCTTTGCCTTGCAAAGAAGTTTGGCCGGCAAACGTTTCAGGAAAGGGACATTTAATTAATCAGTAGAGAATCGAAGGTGAATAGAAAATCTAGAAGTAGATTTTTTTTACCCCAAATGTTGCTTTTTGTGTGTGTGTAACTCTCTAAGATACATGAAGATAGGTGAAAAATTGCTAAATGAGGTACCAGTGGAAAAATCTGTCCTTGTTGATTTTGATCAGCTTATAACCTTGGTGAATAAATGGAAAGCTAAATGGGTTCATGAAGGATATTCATGGTTAAAAAACACCAAAACGACCCCAGTGTGGGCAGTACTCCCTCCATCTGATTTACTTTTTCTATTGAGAGGACAATTGCAAGGATTCGTGAGGGTCCTTTCAATGAAGATTTCAACTAATCAATCGCACAATTACGGGTCGGTCCACTTGACGATCTTTGACCATCTTTGGGTGTTCGAAAATCGTGTCTGGACTTGAAAGTGTTGAACGCACGAACAGTGAAGAAGCAGAAAGAGGAGGTGGAAGAATTTAAGAAAAGAGAGGAGAGAAAAAGGGGCAATGATTACTTTAATCTTGTCTTTACTTACGTTATTTTTAATATGCGAGACGTAGCAATTTCACCAAAATATAACTTTGAAAAACTACTGAGAAAATTAACTATTTCGGATTTTTATTGATTGAAAACTCATAGGGTCTGATGTATAATATTATTAACGGCAAATCCCCTAATATACCTTGACGAATGAACTATCGGTACCATAAAAGCATGTGCCCACTCCAAGAGAGATGTGTGACCGCGAAATTCATTCAGGTGAATAAAGTAAAGTTAAGTCATCTGACATGAATAATATTTCTTTACACACTTCATAAGCTCACAGTTTTTTCATCGTACCGGTAAAAATAAAGTCTGACGGTGATGAGTTTGACAACGGTCACGCAATTGCAGAATACAGTACTCCAACACTCAACAACAATTGCTGAGCAACGTTAATTTTGTAATGTACAATTAAGAAGAGCTAAGATACTAATTACAAAACATTTAACATTAGCTATTCTCTTGGTTATGCTATTTCAAGCACCAAATATTGCGTGATGCTAACAGTATTGAAACCTGTCCTTGTGTACGATAGGAATATGCAGATGTATTTATATGCAAATTTATCACATTGTGTCACCAACATTCACAGCAATTTGTTATCAGGGATATCAATTTTTCAGATCCTTTACTTAATTTTAGCTTCATTTAAAGGCGCTTTCATCCTTTCTCCTACGTTTCGAATATACCACGTACCGAAACTACAAAGAAAAATCAGGCGGCATCATTTCTCTACAAATTTGACTTATGCAAATTTGTGACATTTTTCCACTGGTGGTCACGAAACGTTTTATTTTGTCAAGGCGAATCCGGAGTACCCAGATTTGTTATTTCATATTCTGTTAATAAAAGAGCTGAACTTTGTCCTAGTATACATTTTGGCTAGGTATCACACATACCAAGGTGAGTTTTTTGCCTCTGAAGTTGCTCATTTTTTAGCCATTTTAAAAAGTGCGCTTGTTGGTAGTTTTTAAAAAACCGTTCAAAATTCAAAATTATGTTTATGGTTTAAAACATACCATGGATAGAAAGAAAAGTTAGAATGCTCTTAAACAAAAATACTTCTGGTCTATAGCTTTGAATCTTGCCTCGGTATAGACGCGATAAAGTAGGTCATTTTTACTCTAATTTTGGCATAATTAATTAGGTAAAAACCGCTATTTTCGTTTTTCCTCATTTTCTCGAAAACTATAGATTCTTGAAAGTTGAAAATATTTTTTTCGAAGATAGTTCCCCAAAGGGGTTTTTCTGACAAATTATCAGAATTTTCGATTTTTTTAGCCTGGCCAGCGATTCTCGATATTTACAGTCATGGGCTCTTAAGCAATAGACCACACGTTCTATGGGTTTATCGGCGTTATAACCCACGCGGGCGGGATGTTGGGAGAACACGAGAAAAGCTTGTAAAGAGCTTTGCGAGTGTTCTCCCATCATCCCAAGTGGGTTATAACGACGGTCAACTCATAGAAAGTGTGGTATATTGCTTTTATAAAATAACTTGAAGTTTTCTATGAGTTTACATGGACAATAAACCATACGCTTTTATTCAATCAGAACGCGCGTACTATCGGTTATTTTATAAATAGCTTTATTACTTATTCTTACTTTTTTACTAGCATGTATATAGATACAATATTTTTTATACTTTACATTAATATTACAGGTATCTCTAAGAGATACTAGCACTTATGTGCTTCTCTTCAATCCGATTTCAAATAAAGTTTGCTACTACTACTATTAATGACTACTACTACTTGGGCGCAAGTTATGAACCAGTCATAAATAATACAAATCCTCTCACTTACATCACGAGCTGCCCATTTGGGATACTGAAAGCCCGATGCCCAATAGTCTTGATAGGGTTATCTGAAAGCACTCTAAAGAATGAATTGCGTAAGTGTCAGTATATAAAAAGCTACTAGTCGAAACGCCAGTAATCAATTGACCAATCAGTTCTTCCAATACATTGTAGGACGAGAAACTTTCCCTAATTTTGTGAGCTACTTGAGGGGATTAATAGGGGAGAAAATAACTGGACAGGTACAATTATTCTCTCTTGGACTAGTTCGTAAGATCTTGAACATAAACTAGGAGATCTTCTGCTAAGACGTAATAGTCCGGTACAAAGTGAATATCCATTTCCCGCTCCCTCAAACATATTTGCAGACACGTATCGTTTTCATCGTTTCTCCAAGGCTCTTTCAGGAATGGATGTTTCCAGGATCGATTGCTGGCTGTGACTGACGAACGCGTTCTTTATTTTCACTAAAAGCCACTTGTCACCTACGTCTGAAACCTAGTGAAAATACAATTCACCTACAAAACCAAGTAGACTTTCTTTTCTTTATTTTGCCTGTTAAACGAAGTACCAGCCTAGACGTGTAAGCACTGAAAATAGTTACTGTGCAAGTGTTAAAGAGTTTTTATAAGTCGAGTTGTTTCTAGTTTAATCAGCATCAGGAATTTGCACCGCCCTAAAAATAAGCATCTTAGCCAAAAATGTGTTAAACAATGGACAATAAAATCTTAAGTTTACTTGAAGTGTAGTCGTTATTACAAGGGAAATAAACGTTAGCCGTAAAAAGACATGAGATCGCACAGCTTGTCATCACTTGTCCTACAGTGCACCAATGCCTATACACTGTGGCAGGTCACAGAAACACCAAGGATCGTCAGCCTTTATCCATCCTGTGCCCGTTAGAGAATGAAGGCATTAGGTGCAGTAGTCATTTTCAGTGCTAAAGCTCAAGTGAGAATCCAGATTAGCAGGCGGATCACTCATATAATGGTCCGATCATATAGTGGTTCGCCATGCTAGGGGTACTTCAATCTATTTTTCATCAACTCTCCCATTTTACAGTTGCGGGCTTAGTACCCTGGCCTTCGAGTGAAGGTGATACTTACCACGCTCCTACACAATATGTTACTACTCCCACCCGCCCTGTATCGCTTGAGACACTGGACTCAGTCTCAAATTTCGTCAAGATGTCTCAAAAGGTGCTTCAGAATTTTTCACTCGCTGTGCCCATAGTCACCTGGAGGACAACTGGTCATTCTTCAAGAACATATTCACTGTAGCAGTTGATAAGCATGTCTCCTCAAAAATGTCAACTTCAAGAATTTCGCTTCCCTGGACTACAATATCAATTAAAGCGTCAAATGCTTAAACGGGACAGACTTCTTATAAAAAGCAAGGCGCACGGGTGACAAACGCTCACCAGCGTGGCTTGAATATCGCTGCCAAAGCAACAGAGTGGTGAAATTACTTAAGACAGCCCACAATGACTCTCTTAATAATTTGATTGGGGGTAGAATAGAGAAAAATCCCAAACAATTTTAGAGCTACATCAAACGCTTGCGGTCTGAGAACTTTGGCATACCTATGTTGCGCCAAGGAGACTCAATATTTATCTCTGACAAAATGTGTTCATAAAAGACAAAGGCTTGCTTCCTGCCTTCTCCCCATCCATTCCTGCTTATATTAATAACATGCGGGACATGGTGTTTACCCCCAATGGTGTTCTGAGACAGCTTGCCTCATTAAATCCATCAAAGTCAGCTGGCCCAGATGGTATCTCACCACGCTGCCTACGTGACCTATCCGCTGAGATTTCAAGCATGTTGACATTCATTTTCCAGCAAGGCTCTGATACAGGCACCTTACCAAACTACTGGTTAACAGCTATGGTTCATTTCCTGTCCACAAGAAGGAAAACCCAGCTTATGATCGGCCCATATCCCTTACGTTCCTCTGCAGTAAGGTGATGGAGCATATTGAGCTTAGCAACCTGAATAACATCTGTCTGACAAAAATTAATTGTCTCATCTACAACATTGCTTCTGTGCTAATTTGTCCTGTGAAACCCAGCTAGTTCTCGCGTTTTATGACTAGGACAACACCTTAAATCAGCATGGCCAAGTTGATGCCCTTCTGTTGTATTTCTCCATACTAAATTACTGCGCAAGTTAGCCCACTGCAGCATTGATGATTAATGCATTAATGACGCTTGCTTGGATTGCCACTTTTCTTCATAATCGTACCTAATTTGTGGTCGTAGACGGCACTCATTCAACCACTACTCCTGTTACCTCTAGTGTTCCACAGGGTTCCGTTTTGGATCCGACTCTCTTCCTGTTGTTCATAAAGAGATCACCCAAGTAACAAATTCACAATTACGTCTTTTCGCTGATGACACTGTGTTTTACAGGACCATCAATTCCCTACATGACCATCAAGTGCTCCAGGAAGATCTAATTAACCTAACTAAATGGGCTTCTGATTGAAAGGTTGACTTTAACGTAACTAAGTGCCATCTACTTTGTATTACAAAGAAACGGGAACCCTCCAACTTCACATATACTGCAAATTCTGATGCATTAACAAGAGTCCCTGAATGGGACTATCTGGGAGTTACGTGTACCGAAACCCTTCGCTGGGGTGCTCACTGCTCTAAAATAGCTCCAAAGGCAAATAAGTCCCTTGGTCTTATTAGAGGATCACTGAGACACTGCAGCGTAGAGGTTAAAAAGAGAGCTTATATGACACTGGTTAGACCTACGTTTGAATATTCCTCCTCTTCGTGAAATCATTACACTGACACTGACATAAAACGCCTTAAACAAATTCAGAAGAATGCGGCTCTCTTTGTATGCCACGACTATAACATTGCAACAAGTACTTCTGCCATGTTAAGTCCTTAGGCTGGGATACTCTCGAACACAGGCGTTATTTCAACCAATCAGTGCTTTTCTTATAAATTTCATTATAATTTAGTAAACTGTCAAACTCCTAGTCCAGTTAAATCTACGGAAAAAATCAGGTCTACTAGATCTCACCAACTTACCTATTGCCAATTACAGGCAAATGTCTCAGTTTTCAATTGTTCATTTTTCCCAAGGGTATTAGAGTCTGGAATCTGCTCCCTTATTAGCCTCCCTGCAGACGTCCTTTGGGGTTTGTTCGTCACGCATTCATTTCTCTACAACGGACGTCTGCTAAACACACCCGACATTTACGTTCACCCATCACAGGCCGTTTAAAGATTTTTGTAAAACGTAACCTGAGCCGCTTGTTCAGATTCGCACGATCAGTGAGGCTTTTTGATCGGGTGTGAGAGAAATTTGTAATAAATACAGAGTTAAACAAGTATCAGAGAGAAGCTATCCAGCAAATTTTATAGAGAAGACCGATGGGTTCATGAATTTGGCGACGGGATTTGGCAAATCCCTTATCTATCAAGCTTTGCTGCTTGTTTGCGACACAGTGCGTGGAAGTACTGGACATATTGTTGTTGTTGTTGTTTCGCCCCTGGTAAATCTTATGAAAGGTTAAGCTACAAAGCTGGCAAATATTGGTATTCCTGCTGTAACGCTCAGTGATATTAGCGACGAGAATATGAGGGTTGTCGAGAGAGGGGCTTTCTCTGTTGTTTACGGGAGCCCAGAAGCTTGGTTAAAGATTGATCGGTGCAGGAAATGTTAGAGAGTCACTTGCACAGTTAATATGTGGTCCTTGGTCCGCGACTTTTCCGAGCTGCAGCATGATTAAATATTTCGTCGAGAAAAAAAATGCGGTGAAAAATAAAAGGTCCAATGTTTCTTTGAAGGAGCGAAATTAAGGTTTTTTGACAGGTAGGTTAATTTGTCGTTCTAGCTTGAAGTTTGGACTTTGGCGGCACCGTGGTCATGTTTACTTAGCTTGTGAATAAATAAAACGCAACGGGAAGACGTGCCTTTTTGCAGAACACGTTTTCAGATAAACCTTTTTCTGCCGTTGGTAGCACATTGTTGTAAACTTCGAATTTTTTGTTTTACCGACTCTTGAAAAAATATAACCAAATTTCCCGTATTGGTGCTTCAATGAGGGACAGAAGTGTTGACACACTTCCGTAAAATGGCCCCCTTTTGCATAGTCGATATATTTATCCCCTTCCCCTGTCTACCCCAACCCCTTCCCCCAAAAATCAATGTCCAATTTTGGACCCTCAAGTCTTTTTTTTTTCTTCAGACAAGATTGACTCGGGGGAGGGAATTTACGGCGTTTAAAAGGAATGAAACAAAAAATGAATTAAATTTTTGTTAAAAGCACTTGTTTTAAACAAGTGTGTCAACTACTTTTGTCCCTGATTGTTGGTCCGCGACCCATAACCTTGGTGGAATTACATTTTGCAAAAATGAGAATGGTTCTTGTAAGTAGCCACTAGTAATGGTAAAATGGCCGCTTTTATTCATTTTATTCATAATGGCTTTTCCCTCTTTCTAGAAGTTGTAACAATACGACGTAACTACTTTTTATTCTTGGGTCGTTCACCACATCTTTTCAGTAAAGCGGACTATACTTACAATATATCAAGCTGTCTCTGGGCTTGAAAAACCTCATCACTGATTGACTGAAGGTGATTCTCATTGAGCAGTCTATTATTCAGCAAAAAAGAATGCAAAAAAATGATGGCATTTAATAGTTTACCTACGAGGGCGCGCTGTCGAAGCCACAGAGTGGGCGAGTGGTTAGAGGAGTCTTAGAGCACTAGGCTTGCTATCGGCTATTTGCACTAAGAGGTCATGTGACATTGTTTTCGTGGAAATGAAAGTTGTGTGATGTTACGATTAGTGGGTCATGCCTTAAACAAAATAATAGTGACTTGGTTATTGAAACCCGCACCAGTTTCTTAAAATGAGTAAGTTCGTAGCTGGTCTCGTGACCAAAATGTGACACAGAACCAGATACCTACTCAAGAACTTTGTTGTCAAGTAGCACAATCTAAATGTCACGTAGCATCTATTTTTTACTGTTTTTATATCTCATAGCAACCATAACGTCGCTTTTACTATAACAGCTTTTTGTAAATACCATAGCAACCCCAAGTTAGCTTTTATTGCCAGTTCTTGTAATTTAACGGTCATTCGTGAATATTGCCTGAGAGTGGCCATTCTTCGACCACACGAAACAGCGTTGTCGCAATAAAACGATGAATTGAAATCTTACTACTATTGATCATTACATACATACATACATAAATAAATACATACATACATACAGTTCTGTAGCAATAAAACGATGATTACTCGTGAAATCTGAACTTATACATAGGTTTGGTATTTGATTTTCGGGTTGAGGAAACTATCGCCATTTAAAAGAACCACTGGTTGTAACAGCGGTTATTACAACCAGGAGTCTTACAACCAGGGGTCTTACAACCAGAGGTTCTTACAACCAGAGATCTTACAACCAGGGTTTCTCACAACCAGGGGTCTTACAACCAGCGGTTCTAACAACCAGGGGTCTCACAAGAAGAGGTTCTTACAACCAGGAATCTTACAACCAGGGGTTCTTACAAAAGGGGTCTTACAACCAGGGGTTTTTACTACAAGGGGTCTTACAACAAGGGGTTCTTACAACCAGGGGTCTTACAGGTAGGGGTTCTTACAACCAGGCGTCTTACAACCCGGGGGTTCTTACAAACCAGGGGTCTTCCAAGAAGCGGTTCTTAGAACCAGGAGTCTTAGAACCAGGGTTTCTTACAACCAGGGCTCTTACAACAAAAGGTTCTGACAACCAGGGGTTCTTACAACCAGGCGTCTTACAACCAGGGGTCTTCCAAGAAGCGATTCTTACAACCAGTGGTCTTATAACCAGGGGTCTTACAACCAGAGGTCTTACAACAAGAGGTTCTGACAACCAGGGGTCTTATAACAATGGGTTCTTACAACCAGGTGTCTTTCAACCAGGGGTTCGTAAATCCAGGGGTCTTATAATTAGGGGTTTTTACAACCAGGGGTCTTACAACCAGAAGATCTTAGAACCAGGGGTCTTACAACCAGGGCTTTTACAACAAGAGGTTCTCATAACCAGGGGTCTTACAACCAGCGGTGCTTACAACCAGGGTTTTTTACAACCAGGGGTGTTACAACCCGTGGTGTTACAACCAGGGGTCTTACAACAAGCGGTTCTTACAACCAGGGGTCTTACAACCAAGGGCTATTACAACCTGGGGTTTTTACAACCAGGAGTCTTACAACGAGGTGTTCTTACAACCAGTGGTCTTTCAACCTGGGGTCTTACAACAAGGGTTTCTTACAACCAGGGGTCTTTCAACCAGCTGTTCGTACAACCAGGGGTCTTAAAACCAGGGGTTCTTACAACCTGGACTTTTAAAACTAGAGGTTCTTACAAGCAGGGGTCTTACAACCAGGGGTTCTTACAACCAGGGGTCTTACAAAAAGGGGTCTTACAACCAAGAGTTCTTACAACCAGGGGTCGTACAACCAGGGGTCTTACAAGCAGTGGTTTTTACAACCAGGGGTGTTAAAACCAGGAGTTCTCACAACCAGGGGTCTTAAAACAAGGGGTTCTTACAACAAGGGGTCTACAACCAGGGGTCTTACAACCAGGGGTTCTTACAACCAGGGGTCTTACAAGAAGCGGTTCTTAGAACCTGGTGTCTTGCAACAAGGGATCTTAAAACCAGGAGTTCTTACAACCAGGAGTCTTATAACCACTGGTTCATACAACCAGGGGTCTTACAACAAAAGGTTCTTTCAACCAGGGGTTCTTACAACCAGGTGTCTTACAACCAGTGGTTCTTACAACCAGGGTTTTTTACAGCCAGGGGGGTTACAACCCGTGGTGTTACAACCAGGGGTCTTACAACAAGCGGTTCTTACAACCAGGGGTTTTACAACCAGTGGTTCTTACATCCAGGGGTCTTACAACCAGAGGCCTTACAACCAGGTGTCTTACAAGCAGGGGTTCTTACAACCAGTGGTCTTACAAGAAGCGGTTCTTAGAACCTGGGGCCTTGCATCAAGGCTTTCTTACAACCGGGGGTCTTACAACCTGGGGTTCTTACAACCAGGGCTTCTTAGAACCAGGGGTCTTACAACTAGCCGTTCTTTCAACCAGGGCTCTTACGACCAGGAGTCCTTAGAACCAGGGGTCTTAAAACAAGTGGTTCTTACAACCAGGGGTCTTACAACCAGGGTTTCTTACAACCAGGGGTCTTACAAAAAGGGGTTCTTACAAACAGGGGTCTTCCTAGAAGCGGTTCTTACAACTAGGGGACCTACAACTAGGGGTCTTACAACCAGGGGTTTTTACAACCAGGAGTCTTACAAGCAGGGGTTTTTACAACCAGTGGTCTTACAACTAGGGGTTCTTACAACCAGCGGTCTTACAACCAGTGGTTCTTACAACCAGGGCTTTTACAATCAGAGGTTCTTACAACCAGGGGTTCTTACAAAAGGGGTCTTACAACCAGGGGTTTTTACTACAAGGGGTCTTACAACAAGGGGTTCTTACAACCAGGGGTCTTACAGGTAGGGGTTCTTACAACCAGGCGTCTTACAACCCGGGGGTTCTTACAAACCAGGGGTCTTCCAAGAAGCGGTTCTTAGAACCAGGAGTCTTAGAACCAGGGTTTCTTACAACCAGGGCTCTTACAACAAAAGGTTCTGACAACCAGGGGTTCTTACAACCAGGCGTCTTACAACCAGGGGTCTTCCAAGAAGCGATTCTTACAACCAGTGGTCTTATAACCAGGGGTCTTACAACCAGAGGTCTTACAACAAGAGGTTCTGACAACCAGGGGTCTTATAACAATGGGTTCTTACAACCAGGTGTCTTTCAACCAGGGGTTCGTAAATCCAGGGGTCTTATAATTAGGGGTTTTTACAACCAGGGGTCTTACAACCAGAAGATCTTAGAACCAGGGGTCTTACAACCAGGGCTTTTACAACAAGAGGTTCTCATAACCAGGGGTCTTACAACCAGCGGTGCTTACAACCAGGGTTTTTTACAAACAAGGGGTGTTACAACCCGTGGTGTTACAACCAGGGGTCTTACAACAAGCGGTTCTTACAACCAGGGGTCTTACAACCAAGGGCTATTACAACCTGGGGTTTTTACAACCAGGGGTCTTACAACGAGGTGTTCTTACAACCAGTGGTCTTTCAACCTGGGGTCTTACAACAAGGGTTTCTTACAACCAGGGGTCTTTCAACCAGCTGTTCGTACAACCAGGGGTCTTAAAACCAGGGGTTCTTACAACCTGGACTTTTAAAACTAGAGGTTCTTACAAGCAGGGGTCTTACAACCAGGGGTTCTTACAACCAGGGGTCTTACAAAAAGGGGTCTTACAACCAAGAGTTCTTACAACCAGGGGTCGTACAACCAGGGGTCGTACAACCAGGGGTCTTACAAGCAGTGGTTTTTACAACCAGGGGTGTTAAAACCAGGAGTTCTCACAACCAGGGGTCTTACAACAAGGGGTTCTTACAACAAGGGGTCTACAACCAGGGGTCTTACAACCAGGGGTCTTACAAGAAGCGGTTCTTAGAACCTGGTGTCTTGCAACAAGGGATCTTAAAACCAGGAGTTCTTACAACCAGGAGTGTTATAACCAGTGGTTCATACAACCAGGGGTCTTACAACAAAAGGTTCTTTCAACCAGGGGTTCTTACAACCAGGTGTCTTACAACCAGTGGTTCTTACAACCAGGGTTTTTTACAGCCAGGGGGGTTACAACCCGTGGTGTTACAACCAGGGGTCTTACAACAAGCGGTTCTTACAACCAGGGGTTTTACAACCAGTGGTTCTTACATCCAGGGGTCTTACAACCAGAGGCCTTACAACCAGGTGTCTTACAAGCAGGGGTTCTTACAACCAGTGGTCTTACAAGAAGCGGTTCTTAGAACCTGGGGCCTTGCATCAAGGCTTTCTTACAACCGGGGGTCTTACAACCTGGGGTTCTTACAACCAGGGCTTCTTAGAACCAGGGGTCTTACAACTAGCCGTTCTTTCAACCAGGGCTCTTACGACCAGGGGTCCTTAGAACCAGGGGTCTTAAAACCAGTGGTTCTTACAACCAGGGGTCTTACAACCAGGGTTTCTTACAACCAGGGGTCTTACAAAAAGGGGTTCTTACAAACAGGGGTCTTCCTAGAAGCGGTTCTTACAACCAGGGGACCTACAGCTAAGGGTCTTACAACCAGGGGTTTTTACAACCAGGAGTCTTACAACTAGGGGTTCTTACAACCAGCGGTCTTACAACCAGTGGTTCTTACAACCAGGGCTTTTACAATCAGAGGTTCTTACAACCAGGGGTCTTACAACCAAGGGCTATTACAACCTGGGGTTTTTACAACCAGGGGTCTTACAACGAGGTGTTCTTACAACTAGGGGTCTTTCAACCTTGGTTCTTACAACAAGGGGTTCTTTCAACCAGGGGTCTTTCAACCAGCTGTTTGTACAACCAGGGGTTCTTACAACCTGGACTTTTAAAACTAGAGGTTCTTACAAGCAGGGGTCTTACAACCAGAGGCCTTACAACCAGGTGTCTTAGAACCAGGGGTTCTTACAACCAGTGGTCTTACAAGAAGCGGTTCTTAGAACCTGATGTCTTGCAACAAGGGGTCTTAAAACCAGGAGTTCTTACAACCAGGAGTCTTATAACCAGGGGTTCATACAACCAGGGGTCTTACAACAAAAGGTTCTTTTAACCAGGGGTTCTTACAACCAGGCGTCTTACAGCCCGGGATTCTTACAGCCAGGGGTCTTTCAAGAAGCGGGTTTTACAACCAGGGGTCTTACAACCAGCGGTTCTTACAGCCAGGGTTTTTTACAGCCAGGGGGGTTACAACCCGTGGTGTTACAACCAAGGGTCTTACAACAAGCGGTTCTTACAACCAGGGGTCTTACAACCAGTGGTTCTTACATCCATTGGTCTTACAACCAAGGGTTCTTACAACCAGAGGCCTTACAACCAGGTGTCTTACAAGCAGGGGTTCTTACAACCAGTGGTCTTACAAGAAGCGGTTCTTAGAACCTGGGGTCTTGCAACAAGGGGTTCTTACAACCCGGGGTCTTACAACCTGGGGTTCTTACAACCAGGGCTTCTTAGAACCAGGGGTCTTACAGCTAGCCGTTCTTTCAACCAGGGCTCTTACGACCAGGGGTCCCTAGAACCAGGGGTCTTAAAACCAGTGGTTCTTACAACCAGGGGTCTTACAACCAGGGTTTCTTACAACCAGGGGTCTTACAAAAAGGGGTTCTTACAAACAGGGGTCTTCCTAGAAGCGGTTCTTACAACCAAGGGACTTACAACTAGGGGTCTTACAACCAGGGGTTTTTACAACCAGGAGTCTTACAACCAGGGGTTATTACAACCAGTGATCTTACAACCAGGGGTTCTTACAACCAGCGGTCTTACAACCAGGGGTTCTTACAACCAGGGCTTTTACAATCAGAGGTTCTTACAACCAGGGGTCTTACAACCAGCGGTTCTTATCGAGATTCAAAGAAAGTGGAAATTGAAAATGCTCAATCTGTACCCGCTTTTAGGTTGAAGGTGAGCCTGAGTATTTATTACAGTTTTTGTCTCGTTTTAGGTTGTTGTAAAGTCAGACCTAACAATTATTTTATTTAAGAGAGATTATTCTCTCTTGCTTCTTGTCATGACATCTATTAAAGACTTCTGACAGAGAGACGATGTCAATGGCCTCGCGTTTAATATACACATGCTTAAATTAGTGAGTGTAAAAAGGGGACTTGGTAGGCAACACAGAACTTCTATCTCGTGCAAAAATGCTGCTTGTTCTAATGAGGGTTTTAAGGTTGGACAAAGCAAATGTGATTTTTGCCGCTTATTTCAAACTGAGAGGCTGCGATACACAAATTTATTTCCTGTGGTTATTGTTTCTATTCGGCATGATTTGCCTTCTGATTTGAGTAGCATTTTCTATGATCTGTTTTGAAACATAAAGCTCTTCATTGCAGCTAGATAAGGATTTAGGTTGTTTAATTTTCCCCAAACTTCCTCCTGGATCTGAATAACTGCAAGCGACTTTTCGTTGTCCTTGCAGAATGGGATGGTTTCCTGGAATGTTTTGTCACGTTGGGCCCAGCTCATTTATATTGTTTTTGGCAGGATTAGAACGATCGTTTATCGCCTCTGGAAAATGCGAGACTTTTCGCTTTGCAGTCTTTGCACAGGCGTCAGTTGCGCTTGACTCTTTCGTTTCTCATCCTTTGCTGGACGGTCCTCGCTTAGTTACGGTTTCATCCCCCTCTCTTACCAAGCGAACTTGGGTATCGATGATACCTTTGTGAGTGTTCATAGATCTACATTTTTCAAAAGTGTAAATGTTCTTGTCGACTTCGAGACTTCGTCGCTCGCTCGCTTGCTGCGCGACCTCGTTGAAGCTCGCTTCACTCTCGATGCTTTCGTTTAGTTGGTTAGAGTCGCAGCACACTTTTTGTTCAAAGGTCACATTGTTTGAGTAGAGAAAAGCAACATCGTACTATTGAATCAGCTTTGTTTCAGCCCACTGTATTTTAGTCGGGCTGTTTCATAGCCTTATTGTGAAGAAAGTACACAGAATTTTCGTCTGGTAATTTCAGTTTAAATATTTTGTTGCCCTTGAATGTTCAAAAAGAATTTCCAAAAAACAAGTATACATTGAGTGATCGTACAGATTTCGATTGGGTTTGATTTCCTTCGGTAAGCGGGCGAAGTCGGACACTCTTCTATTATCATGATCGATTATTAAACTCAATAGCAACGATCGTTCGATAGTTCGATTACCGAAATGTTTGGAATAGTTACCCCGGGTAAGATAAATGACTGCTTCGTTTTTAAATGACAAAAGTAAAATAAACTTACATAATGCGAAGACGTTTGTTGTTGAAAAATACGCCACGCGTAATGTTCTTGATTCTGTTTGACGACAAATCGCTGTGAAATGAAACATTTCTGGTTATAAAAGAGTCTCTAAGAGTCTCTCCAACGTGTTATAAATGATATAAAGTTCAGTATATTTACGTTTTAAAAACGTAAAGTAATTTACCTGAATAATAATGGCAAAACAGCCGAAAGGATAGAAATGGGGAAAAAATTCTCTATAAGGCAGTTATAGTGAATAACGCCCAGTTCAAACGTCGAACTTTTCGTGCACCGAACCTAATCCTTCGATTAAGTTCCTGAAAGATCGATGTTTGAATCAGTTAAGTCCCACATAAGTTGATCCAGGAATTTAAAGTTCGAATGACCCACACGGAAATTTCGACAGAGGAGTGACTTCGTTTCAAACGTTGAACTTTTCTTTCATGTGCCTAGCCTAATGCAGAAATTACTGTTACCTGTACTTACTATTACTGGTAAACATTGTAGGCCATGTACATAGTGAAAATGAATTGAGTCCGACTGAATAAACCGTCGAACTGTTATTATTTGGGTCGACCTTAAGAGTTATTAAGCTCGGGACATGAAAAGTTCGACGTTTGAAGTGGGCCTAATACGAGGACTTTCCAACTAACAAGGACTGCTGTGCGGACAGGAGAAAGCGGTCACGTGACTATCAAGGGAAGTATATAGATTTAGCCACGATCAAAACCGAAGCTCTCGTGGCCGAATTGCCATAAGTAAGAAGCAAACCGGCGACGATGAGGTTTATAGTAGCTCTATGAAACTCCTAGAATTTGTAAGACATTTTTGTTCTTTCCATCGCAGTTTTCTTTAGTCAATTTTTCTACTTGCGATCGGTTTTATGTAAAAAACGAGAAGCCATTATAAGCCTAACCAATATCTCTCATTCCACCTTTGCTTTCCTGGCAAATGATTGAAAGATAGAACCTCGAAGCTCTGACACAAACCCGAAAAAGGTATTTAATAAGGAAAACCTGTTTGACAAGTTTTCATTTCCAACCAATGAGCAACAAAGTTGCATAAAGCGCGCGAAAACTGGACTTGCAAGAGACTCACGTTAGTCTGTCACTCATTGTCGATAAAAGAACAGTCGACATTTACTGAGCTGATTTTATACCCTTCGAGCTGAATAATAAATCTGTTATAGGACGGTTTAGCGAGTGCTATCGTGGGATATTTTATCTTGTCTTTTGTATTTTGACTCGCCCTACGGGCTCGCCCCCCCAAAAAAATCCCATGCTACTGCCCACTAAAACATCCAATAAGATATTGATATATATTTGTCTAGATTTGCAAAAAGTTGCCTTGTTCAGAACTTGATCATTTTTTTTGTCTCATGATGGTTTCAGTACAAAAAAAACCTAACAAGCTCCGGTAGACAAAAAACATGTGTTGAAAATGCTGCTCACATCTTTCCCCATCCCCCCTCCACCCTCTCCCCTACCTCACATTTCCCATAATTCTCTCCTTGACATAAAACACTATTACATTTAAATTTAGAGCGGTAGAAAGAAATTGTTTTCCGTGCTCGGTTAGTTTTCTAGATTTCTTTTTGGCCGCCTGCAGCAAAGTTTTCCAGAAGGCGTTTCACGATTGGCAAAGTCTGCCGTTGTCCCATATGTTACCGCATTTCGTCTCATGTTAGCTAAACGGGTGAAACACTGATCTCGGGCTTGAGACCGAAAGGCATCATGCGAGCTTTGATGTGGGCGGTGTAGTCTCGGCCTTACAAAGTAGTTTTTAGGAGTCAAATCTATTCGGCGACAGAAAATGTTGCTGATTTCTGACCAGGCCAGGGACTTAGTTAAAAATTGTTTTGAAGGCCAGCCTTGTGCGTCCCTTTCAAAAGAGCTCGTCCACAACCGGGATCTTGAATAAATCGACTGAGTCAGGAAAGTTTACATGTGATGATTTATGTGCAGAGAGCGAGAGTTATTGAGCGAGTGTAATTTGAGGCTATTTGGCCCATATTAAGTGTGCAAACATTGTGCCTGGTTGGTTGTGGATGGGTTTATCAGAGCCGCGAACGTGGTTAATTGTGTCAGGATTTCCTGACGTTGTTGACAGACAGACTTCAGATACGTCGTGGTGCTCGTGTTATAAGAATATTGTGTACAAGCATATTAAAACGCTCAAGAAAGGTAAATTCTAGGTCTGTTTTAGTCGGACATCTCGCGGTAATGGGCTCATGATAACCGTCACGAATATAGAGACATTAAGCGACCGCTAAGCCCACTGTGAGAATGTTGATGTAATTGCTGTAGTTACTACAGTTGGTATAGTAGCTGTAGTAGCAGTAGTTGGTGTAGTTGCTGTAGTTGCTCTAGTTGGTGTAGTAGCTGTAGTTGGTGTAGTTGCTGTAGTTGCTGTAGTTGGTGTAGTTGGTGTAGTAGCTGTAGTTGGTGTAGTTGCTGTAGTTGGTGTAGTTACTGTAGTTGCCGTAGTAGCTGTAGTTGGTGTAGTTGCTGTAGTAGCTGTAGTAGCTGTAGTTGGTGTAGTTGGTGTAGTTGCTGTAGTTGGTGTAGTTGGTGTAGTTGCTGTAGTTGGTGTAGTTGGTGTAGTTGCTGTAGTTGGTGTAGTTGCTGTAGTTGGTGTAGTTGGTGTAGTAGCTGTAGTTGGTGTAGTTGCCGTAGTTGGTGTAGTTGGTGTAGTTGGTGTAGTAGCTGTAGTTGGTGTAGTTGGTGTAGTTGCTGTAGTTGGTGTAGTTGCTGTAGTTGCTGTAGTTGCTGTAGTTGCTGTAGTTGCTGTAGTTGGTGTAGTAGCTGTAGTTGGTGTAGTAGCTGTAGTTGGTGTAGTTGTTGTAGTTGGTGTAGTTGGTGTAGTTGCTGTAGTTGGTGTAGTTGGTGTAGTTGGTGTAGTTGCTGTAGTTGCTGTAGTTGGTGTAGTTGCTGTAGTTGGTGTAGTAGCTGTAGTTGGTGTAGTTGGTGTAGTTGGTGTAGTTGGTGTAGTTGGTGTAGTTGCTGTAGTTGGTGTAGTAGCTGTAGTTGGTGTAGTTGCTGTAGTTGGTGTAGTTGGTGTAGTTTGGTGAAGTTGGCGTAGTTTGATGTAGTTTTGTGTAGTTGATGTAGTTTGGTGAAGTGTGGTTTAGTAAGTGTAGTTTGGTGTAGTTTTGTGTAGTTGGTGTAGTTTTGTGTAGTTGGTGCACTTCGGTGTAGTTGGTGTAGTAGCTGTAGTTTGTGTAGTTGCTGTAGTTGCTGTAGTTGCTGTAGTTGCCGTAGTTGGTGTAGTTGGTGTAGTTGGTGTAGTTGGTGAAGTAGCTGTAGTTGGTGTAGTTGGTGTAGTTGCTGTAGTTGGTGTAGTTGCTCTAGTTGCTGTAGTTGGTGTAGTTGTTGTAGTTGGTGTAGTAGCTCTAGTTGGTGTAGTTGCTGTAGTTGGTGTAGTTGGTGTAGTTGGTGTAGTAGCTGTAGTTGGTGTAGTTGGTGTAGTTGCTGTAGTTGGTGTAGTTGCATGTAGTTGGTGTAGTAGCTGTAGTTGGTGTAGTTGGTGTAGTTGGTGTAGTTGCCGTAGTTGGTGTAGTTGGTGTAGTTGGTGTAGTTGGTGTAGTAGCTGAAGTTGGTGTAGCTGGTGTAGTTCCTGTAGTTGCTGTAGTTGCTGTAGTTGCTGTAGTTGGTGTAGTTGCTGTAGTTGGTGTAGTAGCTGTAGTTGGTGTAGTTGCCGTAGTTGCTGTAGTTGGAGTAGTTGGTGTAGTAGCTGTAGTTGGTGTAGTTGGTGTAGTTGCTGTAGTTGGTGTAGTTGGTGTAGTAGCTGTAGTTGGTGTAGTTGGTGTAGTTGGTGTAGTTGGTGTAGTAGCTGTAGTTGGTGTAGTTGGTGTAGTAGCTGTAGTTGTTGTAGTTGTTGTAGTTGCTGTAGTTGTTGTAGTTGTTGTAGTTGTTGTAGTTGTAGTAGTTGTAGTTGTTGTAGTTGTTGTAGTTGTTGTAGTTGTTGTAGTAGTTGTAGTTGTTGTAGTTGTTGTAGTTGTTGTAGTTGTTGTAGTTGTTGTAGTTGTTGTAGTTGTTGTTGTTGTTGTAGTTGTTGTAGTTGTTGTTGTAGTTGTAGTTGTAGTTGTAGTTGTTGTAGTTGTTGTAGTTGCTGTTGTTGTTGTAGTTGCTGTAGTTGCTGTGTAGTTGGTGTAGTAGCTGTGTTAGTTGGTGTAGTTGCTGTAGTTGGTGTAGTAGCTGTAGTTGGTGTAGTTGGTGTAGTTGCTGTGGTTGGTGTAGTTGCTGTAGTTGCTGTAGTTGCTGTAGTTGCTGTAGTTTGTGTTAGTGTTGCTGTAGTTGGTGTAGTTGCTGTAGTTGGTGTAGTTGGCTGTAGTTGGTGTAGTTGGTGTAGTTGGTGTAGTAGCTGTAGTTCGTGTAGTTGGTGTAGTTGCTGTAGTTGGTGTAGTTGCTGTAGTTGGTGTAGTTGCTGTAGTTGGTGTAGTTGCTGTAGTTGGTGTAGTAGCTGTAGTTGGTGTAGTAGCTGTAGTTGGTGTAGTTGCTGTAGTTGGTGTAGTTGCTGTAGTTGCTGTAGTTGGTGTAGTTGGTGTAGTAGCTGTAGTTGGTGTAGTAGCTGTAGTTGGTGTAGTTGGTGTAGTTGGTGTAGTTGCTGTAGCTGTAGTTGGTGTAGTTGCTGTAGTTGGTGTAGTTGGTGTAGTTAGTGTAGTTGCTGTAGTTAGTGTAGTTGCTGTAGTTGGTGTAGTTGCTGTAGTAGCTGTAGTTGGTGTAGTTAGTGTAGTTGGTGTAGTTAGTGTAGTAGCTGTAGTTGCTGTAGTTCGTGTAGTTGCTGTAGTTGGTGTAGTTGCTGTAGTTGCTGTAGTTGCTGTAGTTGGTGTAGTTGCTGTAGTTGCTGTAGTTGGTGTAGTTGGTGTAGTAGCTGTAGTTGGTGTAGTAGCTGTAGTTGGTGTAGTTGCCGTAGTTGGTGTAGTTGGTGTAGTAGCTGTAGTTTGTGTAGTTGGTGTAGTAGCTGTAGTTGGTGTAGTTGCTGTAGTTGCTGTAGTTGCTGTAGATGCCGTAGTTGGTGTAGTTGGTGTAGTTGGTGAAGTAGCTGTAGTTGGTGTAGTTGGTGTAGTTGGTGTAGTTGCTCTAGTTGCTGTAGTTGGTGTAGTTGCTGTAGTTGGTGTAGTAGCTGTAGTTGGTGTAGTTGGTGTAGTTGGTGTAGTTGGTGTAGTTGGTGTAGTAGTTGTAGTTGGTGTAGTTGCTGTAGTTGGTGTAGTTGCTGTAGTTGGTGTAGTTGCTGTAGTTGGTGTAGTAGCTGTAGTTGGTGTAGTTGGTGTAGTAGCTGTAGTTGGTGTAGTTAGTTGTAGTTGGTGTAGTTGCTGTAGCTGGTGTAGTTGGTGTAGTAGCTGTAGTTGGTGTAGTTGGTGTAGTTGGTGTAGTTGGTGTAGTTGGTGTAGTTGCTGTAGTTGGTGTAGTTGCTGTAGTTGGTGTAGTTGGTGTAGTTGGTGTAGTAGCTGTAGTTCGTGTAGTTGGTGTAGTTGCTGTAGTTGGTGTAGTTGGTGTAGTTGCTGTAGTTGCTGTAGTTGGTGTAGTTCCTGTAGTTGGTGTAGTAGCTGTAGTTGGTGTAGTAGCTGTAGTTGGTGTAGTTGCTGTAGTTGCTGTAGTTGGTGTAGTTGGTGTAGTAGCTGTAGTTGGTGTAGTAGCTGTAGTTGGTGTAGTTGCCGTAGTTGGTGTAGTTGGTGTAGTTGGTGTAGTAGCTGTAGTTGGTGTAGTTGCTTGTAGTTAGTTGGTGTAGTTGGTGTAGTTGCTGTAGTTGCTGTAGTTGGTGTAGTTGGTGTAGTTGCTGTAGTTGGTGTAGTTGGTGTAGTTGGTGTAGTTGGTGTAGTTGCTGTAGTTGGTGTAGTTGGTGTAGTTGGTGTAGTTGGTGTAGTTGGTGTAGTAGCTGTAGTTGGTGTAGTTGGTGTAGTTGCTGTAGTTGGTGTAGTTGGTGTAGTTGCTGTAGTTGGTGTAGTTGGTGTAGTTGGTGTAGTAGCTGTAGTTGGTGTAGTAGCTGTAGTTGGTGTAGTTGCTGTAGTTGCTGTAGTTGCTGTAGTTGCTGTAGTTGGTGTAGTTGGTGTAGTTGGTGTAGTAGCTGTAGTTGGTGTAGTTGCTGTAGTTGGTGTAGTTGGTGTAGTTGCTGTAGTTGCTGTAGTTGGTGTAGTAGCTGTAGTTGGTGTAGTTGGTGTAGTTGCTGTAGTTGGTGTAGTTGCTGTAGTTGGTGTAGTTGCTGTAGTTGGTGTAGTTGCTGTAGTTGGTGTAGTAGCTGTAGTTGGTGTAGTTGCTGTAGTTGCTGTAGTTGGTGTAGTAGCTGTAGTTGCTGTAGTTGGTGTAGTTGGTGTAGTAGCTGTAGTTGGTGTAGTTGGTGTAGTTGGTGTAGTTGGTGTAGTTGCTGTAGTAGCTGTAGTTGAGTTGTAGCTGTAGTTTATTGTAGTTGGTGTAGTAGCTGTAGTTGGTGTAGTTGGTGTAGTTGGTGTAGTAGCTGTAGTTTGTGTAGTTGGTGTAGTTGCTGTGTAGTAGCTGTAGTTGGTGTAGTTGGTGTAGTTGCTGTAGTTGCTGTGGTTAGTGTAGTAGCTGTAGTTGTTGTAGTTGTAGTTGTTGTAGTTGTAGTTGTTGTAGTTGTTGTAGTTGCTGTGTAGTGTGGTAGCTGTGGTTTGGTGTAGTTGCTGTAGTTGCTGTAGTTGCTGTAGTTGGTGTAGTTGCTGTAGTTGCTGTAGTTGCTGTAGTTGGTGTAGTTGGTGTAGTTGGTGTAGTTGGTGTAGTAGCTGTAGTTGGTGTAGTTGCTGTAGTTGGTGTAGTTGCTGTAGTTGGTGTAGTTGCTGTAGTTGGTGTAGTTGCCGTAGTTAGTGTAGTTGGTGTAGTAGCTGTAGTTGGTGTAGTTGCTGTAGTTGGTGTAGTAGCTGTAGTTGGTGTAGTTGGTGTAGTTGCTGTAGTTGCTGTAGTTGGTGTAGTTGCTGTAGTTGGTGTAGTTGGTGTAGTAGGTGTAGTTGGTGTAGTTGGTGTAGTTGGTGTAGTTGGTGTAGTAGCTGTAGTTGGTGTAGTTGCCGTAGTTGGTGTAGTTGGTGTAGTTGCTGTAGTTGGTGTAGTTGCTGTAGTTGGTGTAGTTGGTGTAGTTGGTGTAGTTGGTGTAGTTGGTGTAGTTGCTGTAGTTGGTGTAGTAGCTGTAGTTGGTGTAGTTGCTGTAGTTGGTGTAGTTGCTGTAGTTGGTGTAGTAGCTGTAGTTGCTGTAGTTGGTGTAGTAGCTGTAGTTGGTGTAGTTGCTGTAGTTGCTGTAGTTGCTGTAGTTGCTGTAGTTGGTGTAGTTGCTGTAGTTGCTGTAGTTGGTGTAGTTGCTGTAGTTGGTGTAGTTGGTGTAGTTGGTGTAGTTGGTGTAGTTGGTGTAGTTGGTGTAGTTGGTGTAGTAGCTGTAGTTGGTGTAGTTGGTGTAGTTGGTGTAGTTGCTGTAGTTGGTGTAGTTGGTGTAGTTGGTGTAGTTGCTGTAGTTGGTGTAGTTGGTGTAGTTGCTGTAGTTGGTGTAGTTGGTGTAGTTGGTGTAGTTGCTGTAGTTGGTGTAGTTGGTGTAGTTGGTGTAGTTGCTGTAGTTGGTGTAGTTGGTGTAGTTGGTGTAGTTGGTGTAGTTAGTGTAGTTGGTGTAGTTGGTGTAGTAGCTGTAGTTGGTGTAGTTGGTGTAGTTGGTGTAGTAGCTGTAGTTGGTGTAGTTGCTGAAGTTGGTGTAGTTGCTGGGTAATGGGTTCATGATAACCGTCACGAATATAGAGACATTACGTGACCACTAAGCCCACTGTGAGAATGTTGATGTAATTGCTGTAGTTACTATAGTTGGTATAGTAGCTGTAGTAGCAGTAGTTGGTGTAGTTGGTGTAGTTGGTGTAGTTGCTGTAGTTGGTGTAGTTGGTGTAGTTGCTGTAGTTGGTGTAGTTGGTGTAGTTGGTGTAGTAGCTGTAGTTGGTGTAGTTGCTGTAGTTGGTGTAGTTACTGTAGTTGGTGTAGTAGCTGTAGTTGGTGTAGTTGCTGTAGTAGCTGTAGTAGCTGTAGTTGGTGTAGTTGCTGTAGTTGCTGTAGTTGGTGTAGTTGGTGTAGTTGGTGTAGTAGCTGTAGTTGGTGTAGTTGGTGTAGTTGGTGTAGTTGGTGTAGTTGGTGTAGTAGCTGTAGCAGCTGTAGTTGGTGTAGTTGCTGTAGTTGGTGTAGTTGCTGTAGTTGCTGTAGTTCGTGTAGTAGCTGTAGTTGGTGTAGTCGCAGCCGCAGGTGGTGCAGTTGGTGTAGTTGGTGCAGTAGCTGTAGTTTGTAGTTGGTAGTTGGTGTAGTTGCTGTAGTTGCTGTAGTTGCAGTTGTTGCAGTAGTAGTTGCTGTAGTTGGTGTAGTTGGTGTAGTTGGTGCAGTTGCTGTAGTTGCTGTAGTTGGTAGTTAGTTAGCTGTAGTTAGTTAGCCAGTAGCTGTAGTTGGTGTAGTTGCTGTGGTTGGTGTAGTTGCTGTAGTTGGTGTAGTAGCTGTAGTTGGTGTAGTTGCCGTAGTTGGTGTAGTTGCTGTAGTTGCTGTAGTTGGTGTAGTAGCTGTAGTTTGTGTAGTTGCCGTAGTTGGTGTAGTTGGTGTAGTAGCTGTAGTTGCTGTAGTTGGTGTAGTTGGTGTAGTTGCTGTAGTTGGTGTAGTTGCTGTAGTTGGTGTAGTTGCTGTAGTTGGTGTAGTTGGTGTAGTTGGTGTAGTTGGTGTAGTAGCTGTAGTTGGTGTAGTTAGTGTAGTTGCTGTAGTTGGTGTAGTTGCTGTAGTTGGTGTAGTTGCTGTAGTTGGTGTAGTTGGTGTAGTAGCTGAGGTTGCTGTAGTTGCTGTAGTTGCTGTAGTTGGTGTAGTAGCTGTAGTTGGTGTAGTTGCCGTAGTTGGTGTAGTTGGTGCAGTAGCTGTAGTAGCTTTAGTTGGTGTAGTTGCAGTAGTTGCTGTAGTTGGTGTAGTAGCTGTAGTTGCTGGGTGGCAGCCGTAGTTGGCAGTTGCCGTAGCTGGGTGCAGTTGCTGCAGCTGCCGTAGCTGGTATAGCTGGTGCAGTAGCCAGAAGTTGGTGCAGTAGCTGTAGCCGGGTGCAGCTGCCGTAGCCGGTAGCTGGTGCAGCTGCAGCAGCTGCAGCTGGTGCAGCTGCGCAGCAGCCGTAGCTGGTGCAGGTTGCGTTGCTGTGGTTGCAGCCGGCAGCCCAGCCGTGCGTTGCAGTAGCAGCCGGTGTAGCAGCCGTAGTTGGTAGCTTGCGTAGTTCAGTAGTCAGCAGCCGGCGCAGCAGCAGCGGCGGCAGCTGGCGCAGTCGTCAGCCGCAGTCGCAGCCGCAGCCGGCGCAGTCGGGTCGGCAGCAGGTAGCTGGCGCAGCGCGCGGCAGCTCAGCGCAGCCGCGTAGCTCGGCGCAGTCAGGGCGCCGCCGCAGCCGGCAGCCGGCAGTAGCAGCCGGCAGCAGCCGCGCCGGGCGAGCCGGCGCAGCCGCAGCCGTAGCCGCAGCAGCCGGGCGGCAGCAGGCAGCCGGCGTAGCCGTAGCGCAGTCAGCCCTTGCAGCATGGCGCAGCCTGGCGCAGCCTGGCGCCAGCCGGCGGTGGCAGCTGGCGGCGTAGCCTGGCGTAGCCCGCGGCCTGGCAGCCTCAGACGTAGCCTGCGTAGCAGGTAGCCTGGCGTTCAGGCAGCCGGCGTAGCCTTGCAGCCGGCGTAGTCTGCAGCCGGGCGGCGAGGCCGGGTGCAGCCTGGCATTTCAGGTAGCCGGTAGCCCGCGAGGCTACGCAGCCTGGCGTAGTTCAGGTAGCCGATGTGCCTGCGCGCCTGGCTACCGCTGTTAAACTACACCAACTACGGCAACTACACCAACTACAGCAACTACAGCAACTACACCAACTACAGCAACTACACCAACTACAGCTACTACACCAACTACACCAACTACAGCTACTACACCAACTACACCAACTACACCAACTACAGCTACTACACCAACTACACCAACTACAGCAACTACAGTAACTACAGCAACTACACCAACTACACCAACTACGGCTACTACACCAACTACACCAACTACACCAACTACACCAACTACAGCAACTACACCTACTACACCAACTACACCAACTACAGCTACTACACCAACTACACCAACTACACAAACTACAGCTACTACACCAACTACAGCAACTACACCAACTACACCAACTACAGCTACTACACCAACTACAGCTACTACACCAACTACACCAACTACACCAACTACACCAACTACAGCAACTACACCAACTACAGCTACTACACCAACTACACCAACTACAGCAACTACAGCAACTACACCAACTACAGCTACTACACCAACTACAGCAACTACAGGAACTACTGCAACTACACCAACTACACAAACTACAGCTACTACACCAACTACACCAACTACACCAACTACGGCAACTACACCAACTACAGCTACTACACCAACTACACAAACTACAGCTACTACACCAACTACACCAACTACACCAACTACGGCAACTACACCAACTACAGCTACTACACCAACTACATCAACTACACCAACTACACCAACTACACCAACTACATCAACTACATCAACCACAGCAACTACAGCAACTACACCAACTACAGCAACTACACCAACTACACCAACTACAGCAACTACACCAACTACAGCAACTACACCAACTACAGCAACTACACCAACTACACCAACTACAGCAACTACACCAACTACAGCAACTACACCAACTACACCAACTACAGCTACTACACCAACTACACCAACTACAGCTACTACACCAACTACAGCAACTACACCAACTACACCAACTACAGCTACTACACCAACTACACCAACTACAGCAACTACACCAACTACAGCTACTACACCAACTACACCAACTACAGCTACTACACCAACTACACCAACTACACCAACTACAGCAACTACAGCAACTACAGCTACTACACCAACTACACCAACTACACCAACTACAGCAACTACAGCAACTACACCAACTACAGCTACTACACCAACTACACCAACTACACCAACTACACCAACTACACCAACTACACCAACTACACGTACAGCTACTACACCAACTACACCAACTACAGCAACTACACCAACTACACCAACTACAGCTACTACACCAACTACAGCTACTACAGCTACTACAGCAACTACACCAACTACAGCTACTACAGCAACTACACCAACTACACCAACTACAGCTACTACACCAACTACACCAACTACAGCTACTACACCAACTACACCAACTACAGCAACTACACCAACTACACCAACTACTGCTACTACAGCTACTATACCAACTATAGTAACTACAGCAATTACATCAACATTCTCACAGTGGGCTTAGTGGTCACTTAATGTCTCTATATTCGTGACGGTCATCATGAACCCATTACCCATCTCGCTATGAGCCTCATAGTTTGAGAGACTGAAAGGTCATGATTTCTGTGCATTTGTATGTTGTTCATTTCGTTACAGATCTTCGCTTTTGCCAAAAGCGACTTTTCCTGTGTTTCCAGTGATTAATTTGTCCTTTTTAAGCCCTATCTAGCGACTTTCAACTCGTTTTTATTCACCTCAGGGGTCAAATTGTTAAAACGCACTTGAAATTTCTGTAGGTTTCTTTTTATAAATTCAGACAGATATATTTGTGGATATTTCGCAGTCATCATGTCACTTTGACTTCATTAGGTCCTTGCTATCAAGAGAAAGGAGTTGGCATTATTACTCTTAACCATTTTAACAATTACACTCGAACAAAATGATGCACCTTACATGAAAGTCAAAGCGGATTGGTTGGCGAATATTCCTTCGGGCAAGTCTTGAATTAAGTTCCTTCTAAGAGATCTGTTTGGAAAGAAATAAATATTTTCAGGTTATTGTATTAAGCCGTTACCTATAATCTAGATTTTGTTCATCAAACCTCTCTTGTACGGTCACAGAATGGAGAGAACAAAGTGTCCGTATTAAAGAGGTTTCGCCATGATGATATGATCATTTTTAAAACTCCAATGACAGTTTAAAGTGTTCAGTGACTGTTGAGGCTTTTCCTCAACAAGAGAACAATTTTGTTTTTCCTAAGCCCGTTCCATTCCACTTTTGTAATTTATACTCCCAACATGCTCAGTGAGCGCGTCTCAGTGTCGTGTGTAGCGAGAAAGAAACCATGTGCTTTGTAACGCGCTAGTCGCCGGGAGTTTCTCATCGTATGGTGAGTCTTAGCAGCTCGTGTATTTCCAAATCCCGTTGCAACAGTAATTAAGTGGGTTTTTTGTAGGTTTTTACTTGCCAAGTGAAGCTTGTTAGCCAAAGATGAGACTCCAATTCGATCCTGTTGTGTTGTTAAGAGAATATGTTGCGTGTGCAACTCTCGATTATTAAAGTTGTGTTCAAGAACCTTTGTGTTTTGAAGGCGCGTTTTTTGTCCCCTGGACAGTGACAAAAACAGTCCCACACCTGTATTTTAGATGTAGTTGTATCATATGAAACTCCTTGTTAACAAAAAACTTTCATATTGCCAGTGACCACGCCCACAGTAGATCGCGGTCAAAATATTCGTAAAAATTGTAGTTTTTCCTTTCGTTTTTTTTTTTTTTGAAGATTCATGACAAGTTACCTCCGGCATTCTAAAACTACACCTTTAACACATATCTTTTCCTATGTTTTGTTGTCGATTGCTGAAAAAAATCCACTGGCTTTGGCGATTACTTTTGGCAAGTTGAGTGTTTTTTAGAAGGCCCACAAAGGGTAAATATAGATCGGATGGGGAAAACTGGGGCATAGCGTCCTAGTGCATGCTGGGATCGCTTAGTTACTACCAGACTTAAAAAATGTATAATTTTCCGCGTATTTCGGTACCAATTTCATCAATATTGATCAAGACTTTTCCACGGACCCATGGCCCTGAAGTTTAACTTAGTCGCGTGTTTGCTGCTGTTGGTTCTGTCTTTAATACCGGGCAGCAAAGCAATTAGCAATGCAAATGGAACGGGAAGAAACGGTTCCCTTATTCCGACACGAAATGAACAAGTAAGTGTGCCTATTAACATTATTATACTTCTGTGAACCTTTTATCTCCGTTTCAAGGTTTGGCTCAGGTACTGAGGCCTAGGATGTGAATTGATACAAAGTTACTATACCAGCCGTGAAAACATTGTCAGGTTAAAATCAGATTTGCGTTTTGAGTCAATAATTTCCTATAATATTAATTTGCTGGAATTTACATTTTATTTCTTTCAGCTTTCTCGTTTATACACACAGGAAACTTTTTGTAATTCCCAAACTGGGAAAGTGTTGGGGATTTTTCCCATTATTGGGAAATGTTTGGGACAACATTTTCCTCTCATGGGAAATGATTGGTAAAAATTTAGCTTTATGTTTCCCAATGCTGGGTTCACTTTGGGAAATGAAGCGAAATATTTTTTTAAAATACCAATGTTGGGAATCCAATGGGTTTTCTCCCCACAATATGGGAAAATGATTGGACTATTTTTTCACAAGTTGGGAAATATTTCATTATGTTATTCCCAATTTAGGGAAATGCAAGGGACAAGAAATCCCCACCTTGGGAAAGGGTTGGTTAAAGTTAGGGTTACGTTTTCCCAATGCTGTGTTTAGTTTGGGAAAATATGCAATATAGATTCCAAGATCGCAACATTGGGAAACCAATGGGTTTATTTCCCAAAATATGGGAAAATAATGGGGCTATTTTTCCACTAGTTGGGAAATATTGCAACATGTTATTCCCAATTTTGAAAAATGAAAGGGACAAGAAATCCCCACCTTGGAAAAGGATTTGATTAAATCTAGATTTGTTATTTTTATGACTGTTGAGTGGGAAAGAATTCAATAATCTTGTGTTAGAATTACAATGTAAGGGTTAGGCCAATAATTATATTCTATTATCGGAAATATTGAATAAATTCCAATCCAAAAACAGAAAAGGATTAAGAATAATATTTTTCAGACACATAATGTTTGGTAACTAGTAATTCTTCCCAAATGTTGAATTTAGTTTTGAAAGAAATGAAATACCAACATACATACTCTTGAAATACCAACATACATAGTGTACAAATTTTCTGTTTTAAAAAGTTTAATTTTCCAAACATCATATCTGCCAAGTTTGGAACAAAACAGTTGAAGTTTCATTGGCTTATTTGAAAACCAGAAGTATGGTAATTCAGTGCATGCACTTGATCGCACGCAGCCGCTTCAATATAATTAACTATGAATGATCCCACTAGGCGCATAACTCTTCTCCATATCAAGGTGTCTTCTGTTGAGAGCTGAAATTTTGCCAATTACTCGAGTCCAATCTTATTAATGAGATTGCTTTGCATGGAGTTTTCGGCGAACTACATTTTTCGCCGCATCTGTGAATAGGCTCGCTGCCTTTTTTCAAAGGTTCCCTCACCTGGGAGAACCATGAAATATTTTTTTCTCTCTGCTTTAATCTTCCCGAGCGTCGGCATAGTACATTTAACTCTGAAACAGACCACAAGTTAAAGCTTTCAAAGACAGACAATCTGCCGCCATCTGCCATGTTTGGTACTTGAACTGGCTTCCAGGCCTCCGCTTATTGATATGTGTGATCACGTGGGGCTTTTGAACCAATAGAAATGTGTACAAGATCAGTTTTCTTGGTTCAAATCTTTAGGCGGACTTCTGTGCAGTACAACGGTGGTGTGCAAAGGGATTGTCTTTATAATGAATGCATCCAAAGAATTTAACTCAAAATATTCACTTGTGAGGTTGGTTACATTTGTCTTGTTTCAAAATCGTCTTCTATTAAACAATGACTCAGCTGGATCGCGCATTAAAGAGGAAGTTATGTGTGTAAACTCGTGTTTGGTTGCTCCGTTGAGATCGTACGAGGCTCGATTGTCTCTTGTCGGGTGCTATTTGTTCGTTTTTATAGATGAAGTTTCCACCTTTTTTGTTTATACAGATGACTGTGGTCTTTGCTGCAAATCGTCCGCGGAATCCCTTAGAATAATTATATTCTGGCGGGATATTGAAATGGAAGACTTCAATGTATTAGAGGAAATATATAAGAATGTTGTGACATGTCCGCTGTGTAAAAACTATACAAGAGACTGGTTCATTTATTGTAATTATGACTTGACGCTGTTTTTTCCCAGGTAGGACTTAGCTATAACTAAATACCATAGTGGTTCTGATATAAATGTTGCTCTTAACCATGAAAATGAAGTTAAAGGACATTTGATGTGTTCATAAAGGAATTGAGCTGTTTGATGAATGTACGGAATAGCCTTCGACAATGTGACTCTGCATAAAGGCATTGCTCTATGATTCATGAATGAACTTAAGTAAACAGTTTAATATATATATATATATTGATATATATATTGATATAGTTTTCAATGATATTGTATTTTTTGGACGTTATATTTTCATATAAAGAGATACAGATTAAATTCCTGTTTAGTAACAATCAACCAGTTTGAATTGACACCTGCATTGTCATCTAAAATAAATGGTACTGTTAACCATTAATATTGTCGAATCTTTATTTTGTGTTTTACAACTAGACCAATATTCTTAAAGGCTGCTTGATTGATTACAATGACATTCTGAACCAAAAAAATCCCTTAATTCAGGAAATACGTGGGCCAATGTTATCCCATTATTGAAGATCAACTGGGGCAATAAAAACCCTTTTTTGGAGTATTACTATCCCAATATATTCCCATACCTTGGATATAGAATGGTCCAATACAATCCCTTTAATGGGATAAAAGTGGACCAATGTTATAACACTAGTTGGGGATTACCTGGGGCAATAAAAACCCATGGCTGGGGTATTACTGTTCCAATATAATCCGTACATTGGGTTTCAGCTGGCCCAGTATTAACCCACTATTGGGGTTCAACTGGGACAATTGAATCACATTTTTGGGGTTTTTGTGGGTTGGTAAAATCCCATTAATGGGATAAATATGGGACGCTAAAACTCCATTCCTGTGTTAAAGTTGGTACACTAAAATCCCAATTTGCGGGGTTTTTTTATTGGGTTTACTTGAACCCAATATTGGTTTTGGTAGCATATTCCCAATTTGGGAAATTACAACCAAAACCCAAGAAAACCACACGAATTTCCTGTTTTTTTCCCACTTTGGGAATCACCAAAAATTCCCTGTGACATTATGGCAAGGAGAATGAAACGCAGAAATCGGTTACGAGTCCGCCATAGCCGCCGTCGTGAAAAGGGTTTTTGAAGAATCTGGTGTTGGCGATGTTGTTGTTAACATCCGTATTCTAAACGTACTCCAGACGGTCTGCATGAAAAGTCTTAAAAATATGCCTGAGAGCCTCGAAACGATGACTGAGTCTGTTGTTTTGAACATTTTTGATCACTAGGGCGATTTGATTTATTTGTTGATAAACACAAGCACGCCTTCTCATTGGTTGAAAAGTGTCGCGTGACCAGTTGGCCCTGTCCTTAAATTTAGGGATATTCCGGACTGTTATATAGGGCTTTTTAAAGATAATATGTGAGAATTTTGTCAGGACGAAGCTTACCGTAATCTACGACTTTCTAGTTCCCCATAGTGCAATTCTAAATAAAAGGGGCCAGGAAATAGAACGCGTATAATCACGTGACGGTTCAGTGATTTTAATTCACAGGTGGCTTCAGACCTAAATATGGACATGACGCACACAACATCAAATGAAATATGAAATCATGGATCTAAAACCTATCGACCCTGTTAAACAACCTTAAAATGGCACATGCACGACCTTATCTTGGGATTTTACCCGCATTTTATTCAGGGGAGTAAGACAAAAGGCTATGACGTAATCGGCGCTAATGTATTCCTTTTCACACTAATGGGATTTCACTTTAAAAAAACAAAACCAGTGCGCCATATACTACTTTCGTTATTCTCTACATATTATAAAATTTGTGCTGAATCCGAGTGGTATGCGAGTGGGAGGCCATCTCATTAAAGAGTGCGCTTAGCAGCCGAAAGCTGACAGTTCAGTTAAAAGTCTGCAGCTTATAATGGATAACTAGTAACAGTTGACACTACAGCTGCCCCCGTAGCCTGCGAACACATCCGTTTCTCCTTGCTCTTCGCCGCTGGGGACGTTTCGCGAGGAGGAACGCCTGCGACTCAGCGACAGAAATTCCATACTGATGACGTAAAATCTGTCCGGAATCCGGTCAGAAGCGCTGATTGGTCGACGGAGTAGTTACATTGTTTTTAGCTACTGTTTACGAATGACAGACAAAGGACAAAAGGCCACAAAGGTCAAATGTAAACGCGAAGAATCTAGAGCAAAACAGTCAATATTTGTGGAATATACTCTTCTCTAGATAAAGCGTTTGAGTTTTGCTGAAGCTAGTTGGCAGATGAACACAAAACTTAACCAAAATCGACAAGAAGACACGTAAAAGTGGACAAATTTGTATTTGGAACCCCATGACTATCGGATTTATTATGTAAACAGTGATTTGCGTCATCAGTATGGAATTTCTGTCGCTGAATCGCAGACGTTCCTCCGCGCGAAACGTCCCCAGCGGCGAAGAGCGAGGACAATCGGATCTTTTCGCAGGCTTTTGCCCCCGCTCTGTATATAGTATTCTTGCTCCTTGTGTAACTCTTTGAAATATGCCGATTCATAATGAAGATGATCACACATATTCTATACAACGGGTGAGATAAATAAAGGAAATAAACGCAAGGTTCCATGCGCAGTTTCAGTTTGATTTACACAGATTTGATCAAAACATTCTCAGTTTCGAGAATAGTTTATTCTAAACCGTAAGAAAAGATTTAATTATAATTTGAAGTTTTCGCTATTTGTATGTCACTTTTTATATTTAGTTCATTTCATTTGCCTGAAAGTAAGCCTTAGAAATTAAAACGACATTTGATCAATTCACGCTGGCGCATTCTAGTCTTATTTTAAACTTTATGACGGAAGGACATCTGTGAGCAGGGAATAAGTCAGCACAGAATTTAATGGTCGGCTAATTTCTGTAATCGTCCATCCTTCTGCTAGTGATAAGCTGGCCGTTGCATCATTTACTCGTCTTGCTTGTTTTGGGCCGAGTCTTATTCAGGTCAAAGAGAGAGAAAGAGTGTCTGGCAAGGTTCAGCCGAAGATTTGTGAACTCAAAGATTTGTGAACTCGTGTCTGGCAAACTCACTTAACTTCATCTGCGCTTAACGAGTGTCTTTTGGTCCATAACTTTCATAACAACTGCTCCACAGAATGTCACTGATAAAACGTAACGCAAAAGAGTATCGAAGTATGAATGCACAATTAATGTCACAAGATCTACCAACCGTAAATCCTCTATTAAGCCACCTGGGGGCTTATTTTTTTCAAGCACTTTTGACGGGGGCTTGATATAGAGGGAGGGCTTAAAAGAGAGGGGGGACTTATTTAATTTAGCGAAACGCATCACTGGTAGCAAAAATACCGTAGTAACAGACATAGTAGACTTACGTTTTGTACAATTAAAGTCACTGTCCAAAGTATTTAATTCACTTGTTGGAGCCTAAGACCAACAAAAACAAAATTCTTATTCTTCAAAAATGTGCTTTCCGCTTCATATGAAGTTGGAGGTCATGCGGCCGAAGACCAAAAACAATATGAACTTCCAGCCTGAATAAACCATAACTGATCAGTCCACGTTAATCGTAAATTTTTTGTGAAGAATAAGGATGGGGGGAGAGGGGGGGGTTAATAGAGAGGAGGGGCTTATTAACTTTCCTCCTCTGAAAAGGGGGGAGGGCTTATTAGAGAGGAGGGCTTAATAGAGGATTTACGGTATCGTAAGCTGTTCCTTCGGGATTTTTTGTGTTTTGCGTCATCCTAACCATTTCGCATTTGCGGGCGCAAACAATAGAAACGTCAACATTACCTACCGATTCCTCGCGGCCCCTGTTCAAGAAAATCGAGATTTTTTTCTATATTGACGGTATGACTGTATATTTCAACTGTACGTACGCGCGAGTTACTAGAGTGCCTACTCGGGATTTCGCCTTCCTGCGGAGGGCAAAAATCAGGAGGTCGCAGAGGAATACAGTAAGAATATCAACGTTAGGAAGACGAAGACTTCTGCTGAATTCACTTTGTCTCCTTGAAGGTAGAAAACTAATTAAAGAAAAGGAATTAACATATCTCGAGAATCCGATTACACAGGATGGATAGTGGGAAAAAGAAATTAGATGGAGCCGGAATAGCCCGGGCGAACGACTCGTGTTCTTGTAAAAAAAAAAAATCATCGAATACAATGGGCCGAAATCATCCGGGACTTATTATGCTCTCGTTTCCTTAGGTAATAATGTGAAAAAAGGCGTACATCTGGAATGTGGTAGTTCTGTGCCCGCAATGAGGCGACATCATCCGGGAATTTAAAATGTGCCACACGATAAACGTAAATGGCTTCTCAAAAGGCTAGGCAATAGAGAAAATGGCGAAAACATTGCCAACAGCGCGTACGATCTTTAAGCTGGTGACTTAGCTACTATCGCCTCTAAAAAGTTAGCGCATGGCTTTTGTAGATAATACTTGGAAAAAAATAAGACCATTTCTGAACCATTTTGTTAAAATTTATTCAAGAATTCGTTTGTATTGAAACGGTTCTGAGAAATGTTTCGACGCTTAATTCTTTTCCGCTAAGGTACTCTTTACGAGAATTAGAATATTGTGGGGAAAAAAAGCGAAATTCAACTTTTGAAATTTTTACATGACGTTTTCTATCATTCTCGCCAACCCTCGTCTTATTAACACGAAACAGGGTGAGAAAAAGCAAAAATAATAATTTCAATATGGCTTCGTAGATAATAATTTTTTCCTTAACAACATGGTAACCTTTGGAATTCAATTTTGAGAGTAGATTTCAAATTAACAATTTCATAAGCATGCCATATATTTTACAATTGTGCAATGTTTGAGAAAATCCCCTCATCTAATCGCTGAATTTTATTGGAGCTTATATCTCTTTAAGCAGGTAAAAACCAAATTACAACAAAACTTACAAATGGTTTCTCAATAGTTTTACTGGGGAATTATCCCTGTAAATATGACATCCAAAGAATTAACGTTAATAGTTATTTAGGCCAAGCGCCCTAATCAAAATTTCATTGTAATTGCAGAGGAATTAAAGCTAATTCAAAAATTCATTTATAATTCATAAGCCCATTGACCTATCAAATTGTTGATAATACATCACGTGCAGTGACTTTATATCGATAAAAACTCCCCTTATTAGTTACAAGTTAAAAATATGAAAATACGTGACTATTCAAGATTCTGCGCTGATCGCTTTAACGATGAGCTGTCTGAAGTTGTCTGGAACCGAATAATTGCAAATGGAACAAATTGTGTGAACAAATTGTTTTCATCGTTTTACAACGAAAACAAACGAAAAAGACTAACAATCCTGAGTATTTATTTGATGCTGATAATTCAGCAACATATGAAAAAAAAACCGGTTAATCTCATAATACGATGAAAAAAGTCCATCACACGGATGATAAATTTTCAGATTACCGATAATAAAACTCAAAATAAATAGGAAAATATATTGATAAGAGAGTGTATGATTACCCTGAAAGTAAGGATAAATTTGATCACCTATTCAATATAATAAAACATATATAAACTGTATAATCATCAAGTCGGTATCAAATATTGAACAAAATATGGAGGATATCAATCTTCTGGATGAAGAACTGTTCATGTCAAAAGAGGAAAAAGGTGTTTATCAGTAGTCAGTGCTTGAATATTAAATTGAAAAAAGCATTTACTCCAAATAAAAAAGCCAGTTGTGTGTTATGTAAATTTGATAGGCAATAAGAAACGAGTTCTATTAAAAAAAATACAAATTCAAATTAACTCACAAGCCACTATGCCAGTTGTGCGGTACTATTTGTATACATACAAAATAGCCATCGTTATGAAGTCAATGATAATGTTAATAATAATTTGAGTAGATAGTGTGGACATCGATGTTGAATTTAATTCTATCGTTATATCAGACAAATATAATATTAGATCAGGGACTATTCATGACAATAAACCAATCAAAGGCTCCCGAAAATACTAGGTGACCTTTTTAGGGTAAGAATCCGTGGGCAATTATACCTTTTTTTAGATGTTCGAAAATCCTAGGAGAGGTAGGCAAGCAAGAAATCTTACAACAAATGTTCCAAAACTTCTAGATCTCAAATCGTCTTCCGAACAGATATTTTCCGAAAATTGACGTTGGGTGCCCCTGACAAAACAAGATGATACTGGTTTGTAAATTGTAATGTATATTCCAAATAGGCCATTTCCTTTTATATCTGGCTATCGTGATAACTCTAAACCATTACAGAGAAGATGATACACTTACATTCGCGTTACAGCAGGTACTATGCTTAACTTGGAAAGGATGTAAATACTTTTAGGCTCAGGTATTAACCCCCTGCCTAATGGCACCTTTTCTAAAGTTTACTGTGTGCTTTTTATTAATGACTATATTTTCCTTGTAATTTTTTTTTTAACTCGTACGTTTTGGTTTTAGAACTTTTCTGTTTGAAATGATAATTTCGTTACCAGAAATAAGTATCTCGCATTAACCCTCACGAAACTCGGTTTTAAATAGCGCCACTCAAGTTAAGCCGTGTCGTGCGGGGTTAGAAACTGGATGGGTAACCCGTCACGAATATCCTATCTTCATATTCTTCCTTGTCAATAATATGATACGCGTTACTGACGAAGCCTGAGGTCAAGACTAAAACGTTATTACATTAGGTTATTTTGATATCTGGAATAATCAATACATTGTTTTGAAGAGAATCAAACAAACAACCAGCACACGAAACACAGACGGACATTGAAAATCATGCATTTGTTTCCTAAAATTAGAACTGTAAAACATGGAACTAAAGAATCTAAAATCAGGAGCCGATTAAGCTAAAATTTATTATCCTCTCCTTTCTTTGGGTACTGATGTCGAAAACATACATCTAGAAGCTGGTAATCCTATGAAAATACACATTTTCTCTTCTGATCCTTTAGTTTTAATTCCTAATTGATATCGCCCTAAATAATCTACTTCCGCAATTTCAATTTCTCTAAACGGTTCGCAATTTGAGATATTTGAGATAAAGAGTCTGTACGGCGCATCAACTATTTTATTTTTGTATAAAATATTGCAATTGAATTCCTTACTGGGATAATAAAGACACAAACAAACAAAATCATAAAAACAAAGAAAGCAGGACTACTTTTATCAACTTATTCCGTTAAAGTGTAACTAACCCCCCAATTTTTTTTTTCGCTGAACGAAATTTTCTTATCATCCTGCTTACTTGTGCGAAAAAATTTTGGTCATAGCGTTTGTCCTTATTGTTTTAGAATTTTTCAAAGTTTCAAATTTTGGCGGTTCTTGCGGCCACTACCGAGCTCTGTGGAGAATGGGTCCGAGTGTTATTGTGACGTCATCGAAGGAGCTCGACCTTCCCGAGCAACACGGACTTCTCTTGAAATCATGCCCGACGCCTGTGTTGTTTTCGGTTGTAGCAGAACAGCCGATCCCCAAAGAGGTATCGAGCTTCATAGAATTCCTATCTTTGATGACTAACGCGAGGAAAGCATTAAAAGAGGACGGAAATGGGTGAACTTTGTCCAGCAGAGGAGAGCTAAGTAGGAGCCAACCATTTTTACAGCGTGCGCACTTAAAAACAATCGAACTTTGGTCTAGTGATCAACGATTAGGAGTCCATCATTTTCAAGGCGAGTTTTCGCGGACTTAGTTTTAAAGGGAACAAGGTCGTCGGCTAAATCAAAGCAGAAGATGGACCAATCTTTACGATGAGGTACGATATTTATCTGTACGTAGTAAGCTTAAGTAGTTGAGCTTCTGTAGGGAAGTATTCTTGTACAAGTTTTGAGTTATACTACGTACAGGCGAATCTTTGCTGACGTCATTGTTTACTTTTTTCCTCATTAGCATACGACTTAACTCATAGAAGCCGTGGCGGTATATATGAATTAAATGCAAAAGTCGAAAGAGCTGATAAAGTTGGGCAATTTGTGCAATTTTCAGCTCTTTGCGAGCAATATTGAAAGAAATATCAGCCACCAAAAACTGCGAAATTGCTGTGTGGCAAAAAAGTTAATTAGCCATACATTCTCTGTAAAATTTCTAGTTTTTAGAAGAGAATTTCTCCCAAACCATTCGGTGGATTGGGCTCAAATTTTCAGAGATAACTGAAACTGTTATGCCCTTTCAATATTCAGAGTTTTTATTTTATTAGCGTCATCAGACAGTGATAAGCATATGTTAATGAGGCAAAAAAGGTAAACAAAGATTCGCCTATATACAAGGGTGTATTGTGATTGAATTGTGGTCTATGTATATACAAACAAAACTAGTCAGCTATATCTATCCTTTTGCAATTGAAATGAGAATTCTCGTACAAATTATGCATAGCGTTGAAGGTTGGTTAGCAATAATAACTCTTTAAGGAAGCTTACCAGCATTACTTAGCAGTATTAAAGAAAAATCAAAGGATTTTGGTGGGAAATAAATTGAAACCAACCAGTCAGCGGGCTGTGTGTATACCGTAAATCCTCTATTAAGCCTCCCCCTTCTCAAATAAGCCCCCCTCTCTAATAAGCCCCCCCCCTTTTCAGAGGAGGAAAGTTAATAAGCCCCTCCTCTCTATTAAGCCCCCCCTCCCTCTCCCCCAATCCTTATTCTTCACAAAACAATTAACGATTAACGTGGACTGATCAGTTATGGTTTATTCAGGCTGGAAGTTCATATTGTTTTTGGTCTTCAGCCGCATGACCTCCAACTTCATATGCTTAACTTTCTCAACTTTGC